CCCCATGGTTGATGCAGATGTATCTCTCTTTTAGATGGCAGCTACTTGGCGGTCTTAATAATCCGGAGATGGTCATGTATCAGCCGAAGTACATCAGAGGCCAGAAATCTTTCCATTAAATCTATTGTCTATTTTCAGATATACAACAGCATGAATCATTGCTTCTACACAAATGTCTACTTAAATTGTAAATGTTCCCTTGGGGCGAGTTTGTTTGCTTTTTAATTATGCACTGAGTTCACCACATTGCTCCGAGGGCAGGCTTTACAGAAAGGCAGCCACAGGAAGAAGGTGTAGGGAGCGTGGCGCTCCCCCTCTTCTGGGGGGGCTTCTGACAGGCAGGATCTCTGGGCCCGGCTGGGCAGGGACTGGTTGTCCCGGGGATTGAACCCAAGTTCCCTTTCAGATCAGCAGGTCCCGGAAAGGAATGTGGGGCTGTCACATTCTTATTGAGTGCAAATATACCACCCTTTCCTTACAGACATAGGTGACACGCCAGCCTCTGTTTGCTTTGGTCACAGTAATGCAGCTTTTCTCCTCTAGCCTGGCCCCAAGCCCCGGGCCTGGGGCCATTCCATCCCCCTGGGCTACTCTATTCAGACACCACCCACACTTCTCAGGCAGGAGAGGACGAATGAGACAGATGAACAGAGGCTCTCTCCGGCCCACTCCTGTGCACCCAGGACAGATAAGTGGAGGTCAGGTGAGCTTTTCTGCTTTGTTATTCTGGTCTCCTGGGCCCCACATGAAAAGTGTCCCTGATGTTTCATTTGGGTTTTCAGGCACAGAAATTAACTCAGGCTCTGCACTACCCCCCACCCCCATCGCAGCATTGCTCAGCACGGGCAGCAGCTGGCTCATGGCCAAGAGCGAAGGCTGCCCTTTCATGGTTCAGACCTTTACACAGGGGTGGTAGGGCCTCCAGAGACCCCCGCTCCTAAGAGTACCCTTCTGTTTGAGCTGAGCCTCCCAGGACTCTGTTGCCAGGGAGTCACCCGCTCAGCATTTTCAAGGGGAAAACTCGATTCTAGAGCTCCAGGTCCAGGGCTGCACAAAGAAGTCGTGTGCTGGACTTGGGCAGAATGCTCCCAGCATGCCGCGCGCATGTGGGGTGAAATTTTGGTCATCAGCTGTGGAAGCAGACAATGCATATCCTTAATGTTCACCAAGTAAATCCTGCTGATTTTTTTTTAAAATCCTTACGCAGGGATATGTTTACTAATTTTAGAGAGAGGGAAGGAGAGAGAGAGAGAGAATGTGAGAGAAACATCTGTTGGTTGCCTCCTATGCACACCCCAACAGGGGATCGAACATGCCACCTAGGCTCACACCCTGACCCAGGTTCAAACTCACAACCTTTTGGTGAAGGGGGCGATGCTCCAGCTGAGTGAGCCACCCGGCCAGGGTGAAAACCCTGCCGATTGTAACTGAACTGTTTGGTCAGGTTCCCACATGGAAGAGACTTTATTTGTCATGGTCCGTGTGTTTGTAGGACCCTGCCAGGGGTAAGCGGGACCACACACACACACACACACACACTCTCCCTGGCAGCTCTTTGGACTTCACGGGAAGCATCAAGAGAAATTAAAACAAGATAAATAGAAAGAAACTTTTGACTTTCCTAGCAAATCAAATAGCAAGATACAGGCAGGTCGTGCGTATTAGCTGGGTGACACCAAAGGAATTTGGGAGCAAAGAGCAACTAGGGGCAATTGCCTGGAAGGAGCAGACATGGATGCACCGGCTCACCAGCCACGCGGTGAGTTTCACCCCAAACAGCGCACTCCAGGAAAGGGAGGCCAGCACAGGGAGAGAACGCGAGCCCACACGTGCCGGGCCCACGTGCGCATGGCTGGGAGCTGCAGGATCCTGGAGATGGCCCAGCCTGCCCGAGTCTCATCCGAAAGCAGGGGCACTACTGCATAATGGCCAGGTAAAGAGGAAGTGATTCCCTCCCACAGTACCAGTCCATCGGAGGCCATCTGTACTTGAGGCCATGAGGTCGGCTGTCATTGTTACTCCTTGAGTTAGCGTCTGGGGGGGTGGTACAATCTTGACTGAACCCCAGCACCATTTTCATCTCTAAGGACGGCCTGGCATACCAACAACCTCCCATGGGTGTTGCTGCCGCTTCCGGTAGCCTCTGTCCTAAACTCGGCTCACTGCCCCCGAGACAGAGCTGCAGTGGCCATCTGAACGCTCCTCTCCTGGGGACTCCCACACTGCGTGGGTCTGGGGGAGACAGAGCCCTGCCCTCATGGCGAAGCCAGCCTAGCCACAGGGCAGGCCTGAGCCCTGGGCTTGCGCTTCTGCGGGGAACTGGCAGTGTCCTCTGGGGACTCAGAGAGGCAGGGCAGGTGAGAAACTATCAAATCCTCACCTCAGTGGTGTTTCTAATGCGTGTCCTGCTCTCGCTGCCTAGCCTCCTCTGGCTCCTGCCTGTTTTCACAGCCTGGTCCTCCTGCCTCCTAGTCAGTTCCGTGAACCACCAGACTTCCTTCCAGTACATTCCTTTTGGAGTGAGTCAGGCGCGGCTGGTGGCTGTTATTTAAAACTAAGAAGTTTCATATACAGAACCTATTAATACCTATTAATATTGAGAAGGCAGGGCTGGGCAAATCTAGCCAGATTCGGATTTCAGAGCTCCTCTCGCCTTAGAAGAAGCAACCACAGGCCAGAGGACAAGAGAGCTCTCCCACCGCGGCCCTGGGGTGTGGCCCGGCCCCCGATGTGGCTGGTTGCCCTCTCGCAGGCCTCACGCAGTCTTGAAACCAGCAGCTCAGGAAACAGGAGCAAGCCGTGCAGGAGAAACACAAGGCAGGCAAGTTCCTGGTTCAAAGGCATGAACATTGCTCTATAAACAAAAACAAGATTTTCCTTGCTCAAGAGAAAATCAAAGTTTAGACAATTTAGAGATTGGTGCCTTTTCTAAAGAGGGCTGGGCCTGGTGCAGCCAGGTTGTTCACACCAGCATGGGCTGAGAGGCGGAACCCCCCCCCACCACCACCGCCCACCTGCGTAGGGCCGAGCTGGGCCCGCTGCAGGCTGCAGACCCGGGAGCATCAGCTCCCTTCCCACAGCGGCCCGGAGAGCGTTGGTGTGTGCTGAAGTTTCCTCTCCCACTCACAAACGTCCCTGGTAAAGGGCCCATCACAATGCTGAGACACATCGCCCCTGAGCTGAGTGTAGCTTCCTCAGTGAAGCCTTCCTTGGTATCCCCAGGCAGAGTTTGTGGCTCCCTGTTCCACCTAATCCCACACTTTAGAGTGTGTGGTCGTTTACTGTTCTGTCTGCTCCTTTGGACAGAGTGCGAGCTCTCGAAGGGAAAGCCAGGCCCGGCAGCCCCACACTCAGAACTAACATCGTGCTGCTGCTGAGGTTGCGTGGCCCACCAGCCCTCAGGCCCACAGTGGCACAGTTCCTGCGCCTGTGAGCTCACACTCCACGGCCACATCCCTCAGATGGCCTCGGTCTCCCGAACCAGTGCTGTGTGTGTGTACGTGCGCTTCGGGGAGGTGTGAGGGACAGCCTGTACAAACAGCGTTCTAGACACTAAGTGACCCTACTAGGGAAGTGATTGTGTTAAAGGCATCTTTTCATTAGCAAGCAGCCATTGAGCGTCCATGCACCAACCTGCCCATAGCTGAAGGTGAGAGGCAGAGGACACTATCCTGAGAGCCAGGAGCCAGAGGGAGACCAGCAGCACCCTTCCAACTGCTGCATTTGAGCCCTCTGGGTCCTGGCCTCAGCCATCCTCAGGGGCTGGTGGCTCTGCCTGTGGGCCGGCCCCCTCAGCCTTCACAGGGGGAAAACCAGTGTAAGGCAACCTTGAGTCCTGGACTAGTCATTGCCTTCAGGCCCCTGCAATTCTTTTTTTACTTTCCCCTTTGGGCGGCTTTAACAAAAAGCTGTGACTGGCCATGCACTAGTCGAGCGCTCCAGCCACTCCTCTGGCTCGGCAAAGAGCAGCCCGGGAGCCGCTGCCGTTGGGTGGGAGTCAATATTTCCAAGAGAGTTCATTTGGATTTCCAGATCCTCTGTGTGGGTTCTTCAGGTTAAATCAACAACCTATACTCATGAAGGCAGCAGGTTCAAGTTCACAGTCTGCAAACACAGGCTCTTTTCAAAAAGTCTGTAAGTGCTGGAAAAGAATCAAAATCAAAGTCGCACCACAACCCTCTTTCCTTCCAGAGCAGTGAGCGCTTTATTTAAATCAGCACTTCACATGCTCAACTGCTTGCAACTCAGCAATCAAAAGACAAATAATCCATTTTTAATGGTCAAAAAAATTTGAGTAGATATTTCTCCCAAGCAGACACACAAAATGCCAGTAAGCACAGGAAAAGGCACTCAGTATCAAATGCGGATCAAAACCACAATGGGTAGGATGGGGAGCACACAGCACACAGAGGACCTGTGACAGAACTGTGCACTTGAAATCTATGTCATTTTGTTAACCAGTGTCACCCTGCTAAAGTCAATAAAAATAAAATCAGAGTGAGGTACCACTTTGCCCGCTTGAATGGCTGCACTCAAAAAGGCAGACAACATGTGCCTGCGAGGACGCAGACACCTCAGTCTCCGGGCGTCACTGCGGGGTGTGATGGGCTGTGGCAGCTTTGGGAGCAGTTTGTCAGTTCCTCAGACAATTAGGCCGAGTTACCGCACGGCCGAGTTGGTCCGTTTCCAGGTACGTAACCGAGAGAATCAAAGCCTATGTTCAGCAGGAACCTGTGCGTGAATGTTTGTAGCACCATTACTCATAATGGCCAAAAGCGGGGACAAGTCAAGAGGCCATCAACAGATGAATGGATAAACAAAACATCACATTTTTGTGCTGTGGAATATTACTGTCATAAAAAGAAATTAGGTACTGATACGTGCTGCTGCAATATGATGAACCTTGAAAACATTATGCTGAGTGGAAGAAAACAGAAAAAAGCCCACACGTCACATGATTCTATTTATCTGGAATGTGCAGAACAGGCAAATCTGTGAGACAGAAAGCAGGTGAGCAGTTGCTAGGGGCTCGGAGAGGGGGTATGGAGGGTAAGTACTTTGTATGGAGTTTCTTTTTGGGATGATGGAAATGTTCTAGAATTAGACAGTGGTACCTAACGTTGTGATTTGTGCTAAAAATTATGAAATGCTAAAATCACTGGGCTGTACATGTTAAAATGGTAAATTTAACAGTATGTGAATGTCTCGCTCTGTATGTGTACATGTGGGGTTGCTTCCTGGCCTTTTGGGATCACGTGTGTATGTGTGTGTAGGGGCGGATACACGCGCTGACAGAGGCCTGTTCTTGCTCAAGATCTGCACATACACAGCCAGAGGCGGCCTTCACAGGCTCTAATCCCCCTGGTGTTTTTTTAATCCTCACCAGAGGACATGTTTATTAATTTCAGAAAGAGAGAAAGGAAGGGAAAGAGAGAGAGAGAGACATTGATTGGCTGCCCCCATAACACCCTGACCAGGGATCGAACCTGCAGCCTAGGTATGTGCTCTGATCAGGGATAGAACCTGAAACCTTTTAGTGTATGGGATGACGCTCCAACCCGCTGCGCACCTACCTGGCCAGGGCATCACCCTGACATTGTAAGTGTGTGTTTCTAGATGCAGAAAGACAGCTCACACATCCTCACACTAATTTACACACGAGTTTAGAGCCCCATCTGCCCACAGACCTGAGAGCACTGTGCAAGCCACATGATCTCCGTTTTTCCTGTGGGCCAAGTGTTCTGATGTTTAGATGCATGCAGGTCACATGACTTTAAAAATTACCTTTGAAGGTGAATTTAAGCCTCCCAATTATTTTAAAAACAGCCTTTAGCAGTGATGCAGAAGTACGTAGCCTAGTGCTACCTGTCAGCAGATTTCCATCTGACTGGATGACATCGTGAGTCAAAGGAAGACACGACTTCTTCTCAGGACCCGCCTAGCCAAGGCCTATCTTCCCCGATTCCACGTGTGCACCCATCTACACGGCACAATAGTTCCCAGCTCCACGCGTATAGTTTTGTGGAAGACAAAGGACATTGGCGGAACTGGGTCCAGCGTCTTCCTGCAGGCAGACTTCTGTGTTCCCATCTGTTCCCTGGACTTGAGGGGGCAGGGAATCAGACAGCCCCTGAGGACGGCACGGCCGAGGGGGCTGCAGGCAATCCTGGGGCATTTCACGTGCACCTCGGTCTGCACCTCGCTCCGCGCCTCGCTCCTCCAGCTGCGGCTGCGTTCACGAGCGAGAGCGGTGATTTGTTTTTTGCCGTCAGTGGCTCTGCCCTGCGCAGTTCAATGGTGGGAAAAAAGCCCTTTCACGCATCACTGTTCAAAAGCGAAAGCTGCCGCGTAGGAGGGAAATGTATCAGATAAGTAATAAACACATAATGTGTGGACTTTAGAAGCGTCACAAGCTCCACCTTGGGGGGCAATATCAGGGTGGAGTTTAGAGTGAAACCATGTGAGGAGAGAGTTGTGCTGTCCAATAGAAATATAATGTAAACTACCTGTGTAGTTTTAAATGATCTGATGGCCATATTAAAAAAGAAACAGATAAAACTGATTTTAATATACTAACACATATACATATTTAATATATCCAAACAGGTCCAATATACCAGAATATTGTCACTTCAGTGTGTAACCAATGTAAGAAAGTGAGATATTTTATTCTTTTTTCATACTCATCTTTGAGATCTGCTGTGTGCTCCACACCTGAGCTCAGCTCAGGTTCAATCAGCCACGTTCTAGCTGCTCAGTGGCCCCATGTGGCTAGTGACCACTGTCCTGGAAAGCCGGCTTCTGAGCATCTTTGCTAAGATAATAATAATAAAAGCAGCGCTTAGTGAGAATCTATTTGCTAGACATGGTTCTAAGGTCTTTACATGTGTTAACCCATGTAGTTCTCACAGCAGCCCTGTGACATCGGCTCTCTGGGGACCCCGTTCTGCAGGTGGGCAGACTCACTGCCCAGAGTCACGGCCAGTGCGGTCCCACAGCCCATGCTTCCGCTTAGCCTGCTCTACGCCTTAGCTTGTGCCTGTGGTTTCTCTCTCTAGTCTGATTTGATGAGTGGTATCAACCAAGTGCTACTCTTTGGGGTTTTGTTGTTGTTGTTGTTGTTGTTTATCTCATTTGCATGTAGTTTTGTTGGATCTGAGCGAGGGGAAGCCGTGAGCCTTCAGTCCCAGGAAGCGCTCACCATGTGGCGTCAGCCCAGCAAGTCTCCAAGGCTCCTTATCTCACGACCCTGTGTCAGCCCTTTGCAGATATTTCTCAGGCTGGTCATGGTCAAGTGCGTGGACACAGTGAACACCTGTGGTCCTGATCACTTTCTTCTGCAATCATGCCATGATTTGTGAAGTTCTCAGCACAAATTTTCCTGGCAAATGATGCAAGTTGGAGCTTGGCACATTAATCTTTATTTTGACTTTAGTAAACTGTTAAGTCTGTTTTCCCTTTTTCGGGAGGTAACCATTGAACTCAGTTTCCCTACATTTAGACAAAGCTTCAGGTTGCTTATTGACAAGTAGTCAGGTCCTGCCAGTTAATATTCTCTAATGAGGTACTTTTTTATGTTAAATTTGGCAAGCAATCCAAATATTGCACGTGCTCCAGCCTTGGAAATACCTCTACTTTTCTTACCCCAAACTGGACAAGAATAAGAGGGAGAAGCTAAAGGGAGTCACCCAACAGAGAACATGTAGAAAGTTCTTTGCAAGTCACGAAGGGGTTAGTTTGCTGTCGGCGTTTCCTGCCCATTTTTCTAAGCAGAGGTTTCAACAAGGACTGCACATGGTACTTATGGCAGTGCCTCTGTTTCACGTGGAGGACTGAACACACACATTTATCTCGGCTACATCCCATTAACATTAGGACAAGTGAACATCAAATATACACACGGGGCCAAGAACAGACGAGGAGAGCAGAGGATCCTGGGAGAGCTCGGGAAATGATGATGCCGTGTAGCCTGGAGGCAGTGGTGCCAGCTGTCACCATCGGTGGGTGTCAGCTGAATCTGTGGATGGAATCACTGGACCCCAGTATACACCCCCCCACCCCAAGCAGGGAGGTGACCACCCCTCCCCCAGCCCAGCGTGAGACTGGCAGTTGTTTCTGTAGAGAAGTCAATCCAGACACGTGAACTCCAGACGGGGTCGAGGTTGGGGGAAGGGGTGAGGTGAGAGCTCACAGCTCCTTGTACTGCTGAGCTCTAAGACCACCAGCAGCTGAGTGTGTATCATTGCCCCTCTTCCTCCCACCAGAAGATTGGAAAATTGTTCTGTGGAGAAACCTGTAGAAACTGATAGAAGCCTCAAACCAACGAGCTCATTAAATTAACACATCCCTCGTGCACGGCTTCCAGCAGTGTCCTAAGGCCTTATACTTACACACCCACGTGAAAGGCCAAGCCCATAAAAAAACAGAAGCAAAACAGGACTTGAATAAAACACAGAACAAAGAAAAATGATGGTTAAGAAGCACCTCATGCGGATGGGAACTTGAAGCCAGGAAATGAGGTACATTTTATCCTCTCCTTTTACCACGAGAAACTTCAGTTTCTTCTCTTACTAATGCAGGTTGCCACCCTGCAACCAGGGAGAGACAGGCCAAAGAACAGAGAGAGGAGCCACAGAAAGGATTCCAAGCTCACTTCTCGGCATGCCGTCTGCACTGCTGTGGTCCACGCCAGCATCACCTTTTACCTGGACCAGGAGGAGAGCCGCTGGATGCTCAGAACTCTCCCTTTTTCAGATTAGTCTCTGCCAAATGACTCTACACAGAGTAATTAATCTTTTTTTTTAAGTTCTCACCTGAGAGCATGCTTATTGATTTTAGAGGGAAAAGGAGAGAGAGAGAGAGTATGTGAGAGAAACATCAATGAGAGATAGAAACCAATCAGCTGCCTCCCGTGCGCACCCTGACCAGGAATTGAACTCACAACCTAGGTCACAAGCTTCAACAGGTGCTTGAACCTGCAACCCACCTCAGTGTACTGGACAATGCCCTGACCAGCTGAACCATCCAGTCAGGGTCACTTAGAGAGATCTTTAAAAAAAAAAAAAGAATGCAATCAGTTCAGGCTCCTGATTAAACCTTTTAAATGACTTCCTATTGATCTTGGCATAAAAATGCAATCTCCTTGCTCTGGCCAACAGGGTCTTCTATCATCCTGCCTGTCTGTTCTTCCACCTCATCCCCTCCACCGCACCTGCCATGCCCCTTTTTCCTCCTCCTTCCCCACTTGCCAGTCGTGCCCAGGCCTTTCCGGTGTCAGAAGACAAGTTTGCTCTGCCTAGATGTCCCTGCACATGGCTGCTCACGGTGTCTGCTTGTTTATTGTCTGCCTCTGCCCACTGGCACACGATGGCAAGTGCCTGTCTCTCTTGTACACCGCTGTTACACCAGCATCTAGAAGAATGCCTGGCTTCTAGTATTTGCCCAATAAATACTTATTGAATAAGTCCATTTGTCATTTAAAAGGCTAAAAGATTCATGGGTAGAAATGATGTGTGACAGAAGATGAAAAACTACTGAATCCCTATGCCATCAGGAAACAGCAAAACTTTACTGATGTTAGGATCAGCACGTTCCCTCGACCCAGTGAGTTTCAGTGTGGACAACTCTAGTCTACTATGTGTCAGACCCCGGTGGTGACAGCACGCTGTGCTTTCACAGGGCGTCGTCACTGAGGGGACTGGACAAAGGCCGCATGAGATGTTATTTCTCATAGTTGTGTATGAATCTACAATTATCTTAAAATAAAGCATTTAATTAAAACATTCTAATCTGGCCCTGGCCAGGTGGCTCAGTTGATCGGAGCATCATCTGGTACACCAAAAGGTCGTGGGTTCAATTCCCGGGCAGGGCACATGCCTAGCTTGTGGGTTCAGTCCCTGGTCAGGGCACGTACCGGAGGTAACTGATCCATGTTTTTCTCTCTCCCTCTTCCTTTCTCTCTCTCTCTAAAATCAAGAAACATATCCTTGGGTGAGGATTGGAAAAAAATTATAATCTAAGACAATTTAATAATTTATTCAGCCTGCTTATGTAGTTCTCACCCCAAAATGTATTTATTCCTCCACAGAATATTCTGCGATGACAGATACACAGTGATGGAATTCAGGATGATAAAGGAAGTCGCCATTTTTGGTAGAGGATATCATTTTTCTGAAGCTGAGAACATTAGAATATTTTTAACCACACGAGGCAAATGGCCCATAGTCAATGTTCAATAAATATTTATTCAATGAGCTAATGACTTCTGAGAATGCCAAAATGACATCCAGGCACAGGCTGTGAACTCACAACACTGCCTATCACAGGATTCCAACGTGGAAAGCCAGGTCTATAAATAACTCTGTAAACTGCTTGTAGACCATTCGTGATGCCCAAAATGTACAGTTGACACTTATCCACACATATCAAATTACTCAATTCTCCCATACAAATTGCATTACATAGTAAGGTAGAGCCAAAAAAATACTGTCAGACCCTACAAAATCTTGCTTTTAAAATAGATACTGAAATAGCCCTGGTCTAAAAAAAAAAACCCAAAGCCTGACCCAAAAATTGACCAGTAAATCTGTGGTTTGGGAAGGACGGTTGCAACAGGAAGTGACTGACTACGCACGGAGAACCTACCTGACTCGTGGGTGCTGGTAAAGGAGGAAGTGTCGACCTCCTGCTTGTGTTTATCTTTCCGTCCACGTAGATAACAGTGAACAGGTAGAACAGTACAAGTTTCTATCGTGCCAATCCATTCAGCCAATCTGCACACCTAATGAACATTATCGGGACTCACAGCCTCTAAAAGAATATTTAAATTTTATAATTTCCCTTCATTGATCATTTCATAAGTTGCCACCACTCCAAAGTTACAAACTAAAATTAACTAAAGTTTTGATAGAAACCAAGTTCTTCTATCTGAGCGTTTTTCTTTGATCACTTATACAACCATGAACACTTCCTCCATATTCCACGAAAAAGCAACTTTATTTTCCCCCCCAGACTGTTTTAAATGGAGCTCTAAACTGAGTCTGAGTAGCCGCTGCTCTTGAAGCTGAATAGCAAAATACAAAGTAGTCAACGTAACACAGGAGCTGATTTAGACCGATAAAGAGCAGGAAACTCAGGACTGCGGGGAAACCAGCCCTCGAGGTGCGCCTTTGTTCCCTGGGGTACTCATCACACTGGGCGACCTTCTATCTCATCTGGACTAAATACCAAAGCTGAAAGCACCTATTTGAGGCAGATGTGGCCTCATCCTTAAATTTCCAGATTTCAATCACTGTTGTCCTTTTTCATTTATCTTCTAAAGTGGCAGCTTTTATAAGAGTAACCCAAGAAAAACAGGTTGCATGTGGCAGAGGCATTGGGAGACTAGTCTATCCTCAATTGTGTAGAAGAGAATTGCTGAAGTTTAAATTTAGCAGACATACCAGCCCTGAATGTTAGCGCTGTCTTATGAATGAGAAGCTAGATGTTCAAATAAAGCCTAAAAATAAGACAAAAAAAAAAGCCAAGCTTCTAGCTCTTCAAGCTGTCATCACTCAGCTGCAGCATCCAAACACTATGCAAAAGTTTAAGTCAGTTTCAGAACTTAACCTATAAGGGTGAACTATTTTTTCTGGCCCTAATTCTGGCATTGACCCAGATGCTTAACGTCCGTCCATCAGAACTTCCTCTTTATTTTCTTCTTTTCGAAATATTTAGGTTGCAGAGCATATTCCACACTCAGCCACAGGACCAGGCCATGAAAAAAAACTAACAAACAAAAATTCCTGTTTCAGAAAAACAAAAAAACAAGTCAGCTCAGGGTAACTGAGGAACTCTGAGAAATCCCTTAAGTTCGTGTCTCATGTGATTCATTTGGAAACAGCCATGTTTAATTTTGAAATTCAACTTTCAAAAAAGTTTAATTGTATGTTGCCACCATTACTCACTGTCTTTCTATTCTAGATACTTTACTCCTAAGAATGACAGTTGATACAAGACCCCTGAAACACCATTTCTTAAACTTGCAACCTCCTTTAACAAAGAATAAAGGCGCCTTTGAGATACACAAGATAGTAAAGTTCTTCAGAAAATGGGCTTCCTAGAATGTCTCCTTTGCTTCAGTCGCATTTTTTTCTGAAAACAGTTTTGAGAGGAAAAAAGCCTGAGCATAAAATAGAGCATCTATGTCAGTGTGTGCAGGTCTGTGGTGCTCATGTGGGGTAGCACCAGGAGATGATCCCAAAATTAAATGAGCAATTCCAAGCACGGTAACAATGAAAGAATAAAATTCTTAGAAATTTAACATAAAAAAGTGTAAAACTCACACTTAGAAACTACAAAACATTTGTGAAAGAAATAGAAGATCTAAGTAAAGGGGGAAACATCCCATGGTCATGGGTAGGAAGATAGCGCTGTTAAGAGGGCAGTACTCCCCCGTCTGGTCTACAGATTCAACACCATCCCCATCCAAACCAGAGCTGATTCTTTAGTTAGACATTTAGTTAAGCACTAAGAGAACATCATTTCCGAGAATGGAAAGTACTTCTTGCACCTGGGGGTTACTTTTGGTTTGTAGACCAGAGTGTTAGAAACCCTGAAACAGAAGTCACTGCATCAGCCCTCTGTGCCCCTAGAGCTCTCTTAACGCAAATCAAAAACTCACACATAAGCCCTCACATCCAAACAAGGCTCCTCTGTACTGCAGCCCCGTCACTGCCAGCTTGGATGGGGGGGGGGAACAGTCCAAAGTCCACCTGAAAAAAATGTGAGGGGGTGGAGGCATGGGAGCTAAGGGAAACTGGAAAAAAAAAAATAAACAAAAATGCTCCTTGCCTTCCTTCCATAGGGTCAGAGATCTAAATACGTAAAGAAGAAAATGTATTTTAAAAACCTTTAACACTGCATCTGCTTGGAAAAATTCTGCAAGGCAATTTCCTTTAAGTAAACAGAACAAACGCCACATTGTTTGATATGAATCGACCCATTTATGCAAGCCATCTGAGGAGCAGAGTTCGTGTGGCCCGCGCCAGTGGCACGGCCGCAGCAGCCGTGGGTTCCGCTGCACGCGCCCTGCACCTAGTGGGCCTCACTTCATCGGGACGTCGGCGAAGAAGTCAGCCTCTCTTTTACTGAAAGAAAGATCACAAGTTGAGCCAAGAAATTTAACATAAAAAAGTAGCTTTCAGACACTTCCCCTGCCTCCCAAATCACCGTATAGAAGCAGTCTTTATTTAGTACACACACACAGGAAACCCATGCTCTGACAGGACTTTATTCTCCCATTAAATAAGACTCTGACACTTGGAACTGTCTGTTTGGAGTGTAATTCCATCCAAGATTAATGCTTATGAAGTTTTTTCAACATCAAAAACAATACTCTTACCAAAAAATGCTTAGTGAAAGTGAAAGCTCTCCAAAATAATTATTTACATTTGCAAATAAAAAAGGCAGAGGTTAACCCTTTCCACCAATAAGTGCCACAGACTGTGCCAATCTGCACTGGTCCCTCCTCGTGCAAGACACACTGCAGTGCATTTAGCAATCTGACACATGAAGCTTTGTCCTGAAGGCACAGGTAGGCATTCGCTTTGTTGAAGAGGCTCAGTGTTTTGGCTCAGAGGACCGCGTGCTAACGGCAGGTGCACTTAGTGGCTATCATGTCTTCGTATTCCTTGTAGGCAATGGAGCCATCGGGCTCCACAGTCAGCACGCTCAAGGGGCTGTATTTGGCAGGCACGCACGAGGGCCGTGGCACGGAGTCATCGAGCTGCTTCTCGTAGATGATGTTCTGCACCATGGTGTGAACTGGAGAGCCATAGCGATGCCCGACGGCCCTGGGACAGTCCCCTTTACAGTACCGGGGGTTATACCTGTGTGGGGCCACGATCCAGCTGTCCCACTTCAGCTGACTAAAGCTAAGTCTAAAGTCATGGAGCTCACACTCATTTTGGGGAAAAAGAAACTGTTTGAAGTATTCACTCAGATTGAAGGAAGCTGGAGCCAGAGGCTTCTGCAATTCTGAGCTGACAGTCTCCTCACCTCTCCGGTGACGAGCTCTTACTCCCCTGGCAGCCTCTTCTCCCGTGGGACAGGCAGACGGACCTCTCTGGCCAGGAGCCTGGGGAGGGCTCCTTTTGTCGTGGAGGGAATACCACCCCTGGTAAGCGTGAGTGCTCGTGTCATTCAGATACAGAAGCAATGAGGGGGGGACGAGGCTAACAGGACTGTCCCGTGCTGAAGGGGACCGCAGCCAGTCTTTCGCACACGTAAAATTCACAGACACCTGAATACTCCTCTTGGCGGAGGCCACCAGAGGCTGAAGCAGGGCAGTCACATCCACCTCAACCCATTTGTGTTTCTTTCTAAATTCAGACTGTGATGTGAAGGGAAAGGAGTATGGAGCCCTAGGGAGAGTCTGGCCAGATGACTCTGGCTCCTCCAGCAGCAGGTGGCACGTGCACTGCATGGCAGAGGGGAAAGGCACCGAGTCGTTGAAAGTGTATAGCAGGGCTGACTTGAGGAGGCGCTCCACAGCCGTAACGCGATCCAGGTTGAACAGCAGGCCCACTGATGGCATGGTGCCTGGGGAGAAAAACAATCCACCAGTAGTGCTTCAATATGAACAGAACAGAATGGGAAGTGAAATCAAGGAATCAGTACTTCAGAATGTGCTTTCTCCCTCCTCATTCCCTCTTCCTCAAACCTCAAAGAAAAGGGGGACGGGGTTATACAGAAAATACAGGCAATTGGGACCACAACTACCTCCCAGCAACTGCAAATGGATATTTTCTCACCAAAAGTCAGAATAGCTTTGGTGGTGAAATTCAAACAGCAGGATTATTACACATTCTTAAGTTTTAGAATCTTAATTTGCCCCAAACACAGAGGAAGCTAATAAGGGAACATATTTTTCTCTTGGGAAGTCTCTAGAGGGAAAACTATACTGAAAAGACTAGGCTTGTTACGCAGACAGTCTGAACCTCGCAGGGGCATCCCACCTGCAGCCCAGCACTGCATGCAGCCCAGTATGGCTGCGAATGTGGCCCAGCACAAAATCGTACATTTACTTAAAACATTATGAGATTTTTTGTGTGTGATTACATGTTGCAATACATTTACTGTGTGGCCCAAGACAACTCCTCTTCCAGTGCGGTGCACAGACACCAAAAGGTTGGACACCCCTGCGTAATGGACTGCATCAATAAAGCAAGCTTAATTTTCTACGTTAATATGAAACACTTGAGACTGACAACAAACGGAGGTGCTAAAACCACCGAAATGAAACGGAGCCGCAGGGAAGGAGAGTTGTAACAGCCCCCGCTGACCTGTGGGCTCAGAACACGAGCTGGTGAGCACAGATTCTTTCCAAGCCCTGCTGCTTTCGCACACACACACCGAGGTGTGGGCTCGAACTGCGGGCTCTGCTCTCGAAAGGACCTCGTTTCGAATCGGGATGTAAGCTTTCCCCACACACAAAGTAACAAACAAGGGGGAAACAGCCCATGTGACAAAAAACATCAATAGCTATGAGGTATTTTAGGCACATTTTCAGGCCAGCATTGGCAGAATGGGAAGAATAAACAACTGGAAAGCCAAATGCACAGCTTCCAGTCTTGATTTTGTGACCTTGGAGAAGATGCTGACCTGCTCCAGCAGCACTTCCCTTGGCCTCTAGAGCCATTAAATCCCTCCCAGCTCTGAAATTCTATATTAGTCCACCTTACCCCATGATGGCACTAGAAGGAACGATTAAACCAAGTATCCGATTTGTTTGAATTTGGATTCTCATTATCATGCAGAGTAAAATGCCATTCAAGGAGCAAGGCCCAGCTCCTTTCTGTAATTGAAGTGCAGGCCCCTTTATCACCTTCCCTCCACCTATTAGCCAATCTACTCCTACACACCTGTCGCCTGGTCCACAGAGGGCTGCTTGTGCTGGACAGAAGGGGTGAAGAGCCGAACAGTGTTGTAGAGGTGACTTCTGTTGGATTTGGGGATCCCCTCCTTGGTAGCGTATGCCTTATAGAGCCTCTTCATGTAGTGCAAAGCTCCGGAGTCTGGCTGCAGCCTCTGCGCCCCGCCTGGCTCATCACACAGAACTTTGAAGAGAGGGGAGAGGAGGCCTGATCCGTCTCTCCCACCCGTCGGCTGCGGCAAGGACCAAGGTTCAGCCTCAGATTCCAACTCAGCACTAGCTGCAATCTGAGCTTCTCCCCTAGAAGCCTGAGAACCAAGGCTAATGGGAAAACCCAGCCAGGAAAAGCAGCCAAACCAAAAAAGGAATTTGCTGGGAAGCGCCATGGCTTGCAAGAACTAGCAAGGAACACAACCATACCATTCTCCCTAAAAGCTAGGAAGAACCTAGGCTGATCCCTTAAATTAATGTTAGGTGTGTGGGTGGGCTAGCGTCACTTCTGTAATCAGACCTCAAGGGTGCTTAGCTGAAGATAATTTTTATCAGCTGTGTATCAAACAGCTGATAACACCCTATTTTATCCAATTTGTCCTCATTAGAGATGGATTTCTTTGGTTATTTTGCTTTCCTCTTTCATTTATTCAAAACCTCTTAAGTTATCATTGTACTAATGCACAAACTATGTAGCTCAAAGGCTAAGAGAAATTAAGAAATAATCTTAAAGGAAAACCACCCGTTTTTTGAGATTAGTGTTCTTAAAACGTTCCTTAGGTGCTTGCTGAAACTCCCAAGGCACGTGGAAAAGCTAACTAATTATTTATGACTATTGATTTGTTGATATACAATTTATGGTATTAGGTTTACTCTTCCTCTCCCTTCATCCTCACCACCTCTCCCACTTTTGGGGGCTTGGAATAACTATTTACTGTGTGTTGATCTGGACGGTGAGAGAAAATCTAGTTGGCACTGAAATTCCAGAGAGCAGAGAACTGTTAGGTTGCCCAGTTCCCCCAGGTGGCTTGGTGAAGAATATGCAATTGGCATACTGCCATATGCTTAAACAAGGAGGACATAACTTTAAACTTGACTCATTTTTAAACATAGTTTCTTGATGGCTTTGTCTGCACATTCACCTGTACACAGTTTGGTCAAAAGGTTTAGAGATGTTTGCAGGTGCTAGCAAGTACATGAAAAATTTACTTATTATTTTCTTTATCACTCAAATGGTGGTTGAATTTCCTAGGATATTACTGTTCTTAACTGTTAGAAGTATTTATGTTCTTGCCTTGGAGGTGAGACCAGACTAGAGATCACGTTTTAGAAAAATGAGACGAAGGCACGCCATGAATAGCAGAAACAGGGGGACACGCAGGACCACCCCTACAGAGACCGTGCTGGCAAAGAGGCAAGCCACTCTCCCTGTACTAGGTACTGAGCCTGTCTGCGCTACTTAGGACGGTACAACTGAGGTGTGTTTGTAAATGTTAAGTTCCTCCCCTGTCAAGCCTATCTGGACGCTGGCTACCTAGGAAGCAGGGTTATAAGAAACACCCAAACTTTTGAAACCCTTAGTCCTAGATGACAGGTGGCCGGCAATGCCATGACGACAAATGCACAGACACCGCAGCCAGCAGAACAGAGCAGCGGCGTCCTTAAGTAGAAAGCTCCTTCTGAAAACACCCTAACGGCCCACGGCACCGTCCCTCGCCTCTCCTGCTGGAAAGTGGGGGAGAACGGAGGGCACCACGACATATGCGCCGCCCCCCCCCCCACGCCGAACCATCTCAGGGAGACGGGAAAGTGGGGCAAGCTCGTCCTTCTCTCTTACCGCCACTTAACAGCCCTTTATCAATTGCTCGACAATTATTTTTTTTTTGGGGGGGGGGCTGTTGTGGCTGGATCTGCGGAAACGTTTTTATTCGACCCTGGGAAAGTCTACACCCCGCCAGTGGGAATCTCAGGCGGCGGCCGGGAGAGGTCCGGGACCTGAGTCCCGGATTTCAGTACTGCGGTCGAGCCGGGCTTCGGCTGCCGCCCCAGACGGTGTAAACCGCGCGTTCGCTGCGGGGGGCGGCGCCCACTCGAGCCTGGGGGCGCTCTCTGCAGGTGCAGGGCTCGCAGGTGCTCATCGTGGCCCTTAGGTCCGCGGGCCCCTTTCTCTTCACCTTTTTGTCCCCCTCGGCGCACCGCCGCTTCCGCCGCCCCACGGAAAGGCGAAGGGCTGACGGGAAGGTTGAGAGCCCGAGGGAGTACGCCCCGCGGCCGCCGAGCCCACCCGACCGTGGTCCCCCGTTGGGCCCCGGCCGGGGGCCCAGGCACCGCCCACCCAGAGTCGCGCGGCCGCCGCACTTTTCTCCAGAACGGGGGCACCGGCGCCCCCCCGGCGACAGCGGGAAATGGTATGCCCCGGAAGTGGCCTCCCAGCCTCCTAGGCCGGCTTCCGGCTCCAGCGGAAGTGGCGAAAGGAAGCCGGTGGATCCCGCGACTGTGTAGGGCGAGGTGACCCTGGTGCGGGAGTGGGGTCCGGTCGCGCGGTCTTTGTGACCCCCAGGAGGGTGGGGCGGGCCTGTCGGGGTGCGGGCGGCGCGGCCCGGGCCTGAGCCCGGCTCTTGTCCGCCCTTGGTCCTTCAGGCGCCGCCGCCACCATGGGCCGCGAGTTCGGGAAGCTGTCCAGGGTGCGGCATGTGATCAGCTACAGCTTGTCGCCTTTCGAGCAACAGGCCTTCCCGCACTACTTCAGCAAAGGCGTCCCCAACATGCTGCGCCGCATTCAGGCGACCATCCTTCGCGCCGCGCCGCGTGAGTGTCTCGGCGGGGGCGGTGGTCAGCCCCCCGTCCCCGTGGTGACTGCGGGCCCGTCTCGGAGCATTCGCCAGACACACATTTTTTCCCTGAAAAATTCCTCAGGGTCCTTGAACTAGTCAAATCGTCGTCTCCATCTTACCGATGAGGAAACCGAGTCACGGAGGACGTAAATGAAGGTCCAAGGTCACTTGCGTGACTCCGTCTCCCTCCCACCGTCTCCGAGAGAGATGACCTCCCTCTGAGGTCATCTTCATCCATTTCTTTCTTAGCGACGATCTGTCTTGTGTTAATGTGCAGGAGATGGTGGTGGTTGCACAACATTGTGAATTTGGTTAAATGGTAAAGTTTCTGTTAATTTTACCTCCATTAATCAAAAAATTTTACTGTTTTGTTTTTCTTTTCGTTTACATTAAATATGTTAAATGTGCCACAGGGGAGAGAGAGGGAAGGTGTGATGACCCAGTTCCCCAGGTCGCCTATCAAATGGGTGTGTAGTTAACCTTTCTTGATCATCTGGTTTAAAAACGGGTTTGTATTTTGTTTTTTAAACAAGCAACAGGAGGGCAAAACTCGGTTGTGATTCAGAGAAGAGGACGGGGACCCCTTGGTCTTGTATGTGCTCACTGCTCTCTCTCCCTTTTGATGTTTAAAGCGTTTGTGGCGTTTTACCTTCTTTACACGTGGGGGACCCAGGAGTTCGAGAGATCCAGGAGGAAGAACCCAGCTGCCTATGAAAATGACAGCTGAGCCACCCGTCTGGAGGATGGTTCCCTGTCTCCGACAGACCCTTCTCTGGGAGAGGAGTCCACACTGTAGTGTCTTGAAGACACAATAAACTTCTTTCAGGTTGCGATGTTGTGATTTTGCGTTTTTGTGAGCAGAGTCCTTGGTGTGACTTGCAAATGTTCAAGTTAATGAACCCTATTCCCCAGAGGAGCCGTGAACGATTTTGGCTCCTCCGGGAGTTTGGTGAATGAACAGGGCGTGCCCCTTGCTCTCCATGTAATCTACAGGGAAGTAGCTGCAGCTGCTCCCGCAAGCTGGCCAGTTGTGGGGGGCACAGGCTTGGGGGGATGTTGGTTCCTGGTCTCTGCTCCTATAATTAGAATAAAACCACCTAACTATATTGTAATTACTATGTGTTGGGTACTCTTCTTAGCCCTTTACACAAATAAGCTCTTTTAAACCTCAGAACTGCCTTTGAACTGTCATTATTACACTCACTTTGCGGATGAGTGCACAGGCACAGAGGGTAATTTGCCCACAATTAGAAAGTCAGTAAAAGATGGAGTGGGGCACTGAAATCCATGCCAGTGAAGTTACACTGTTCTGCCTGTCCTGCTAACGCCGCCCTTCCCCAGCCTGAGATTGGAGTCAGCTACAAAGGGGGGGTGAGGTGACCCCTTGACCTCTAGGCCTGGGGCGGCACCCCGGCTATTTGTACCAGGTTGCTAACAGTGGTGTTCAACCGTACATGCTCCATAAACCCTAAAATATTTACTCTGGCCCTTTATGGAAAAAATTTACCCATGTTCTAGAGCCTTTGAATTTTCTTTTTAGTAGAAAAGCTGCCTTTAAAAAAAAACTATCACAAGGGCCCAACCAGAGACTTAATTGAAAGAAATTTGGCACAACACTTGAAGACAGTCCTATGCAGAAATCAAGGAGAGGACAGACCATCTACAGGAAAAGTAAAAAGAAGACCTCTAGAAACAGGCTGGGGCACAGGGTCGGGGCTCTTGGCTAGAGATGTGTTTTGTGTGGCTCTCACAGGTACCTCTCCAAGGCAGCGAGGTTCTTCCCATGCTCCGCAGCCTGAGTGCTCAACAGCCTGTTCACACTGCGCTCTCGCAGGCTGCGGGTGGAGAGCAGGCCAGTCCTGATGTCAGCTGGGGCAGACCATCCGTCCTTCAGGGCGTCTAGGCACGTGCCACTTTCGGTGTCCGCACTGGGGTTGTAGCAGGAGGGGAGGAACTTCGCCGTGGGTGCCCTGCACAGGTAGCCACAGGGGAGCTCCAGGGAGAGCTTATGCCTCAGGTCTTCCCTTACCATGACAGCTGTTCCAGGGATGGCCCCACCCATTTGAAAAGTAGTCCGATTAGGAAAGGTGAAAATTCCTTTGTCACCAGGCATAATGGGGGTCATCAGCTGCTGTAACTTCCCCACCATTCTCTTGCCCACGGGTTCCAAGGGCGACAGCAGTGCCGCCGCTGTTCTGGGAAATTATCAGGGCAACGCTGGCAGGGACACAGGAACTTGAAGAACATGACTAACTCAAAAAGGTACCTTTTTACTTTCGACAGGAGCCCGTTTTGTGCTGCTTCCCTGCTCCAGTTCTAGAAATTTCCTCTATTCTAAGAACACTTGCTGGTCCAGAGCAATAACTCAACTGTAGCTCACCTTCTGTCCCAGACTGTCTCTTTCCTTATTCCAAGGATTAGTCTTGCCTTATAGGAACCAAGTTAAAATACTTCCAAACAACTGGAAAAAATGGTAAGATAAGTTGCATAGATTGTGAGGCGGGGTGAGGAGAAATGGCTGAGTGACACACTTGGGCCCATGTCCTTTAACTGTCACCACCTCTCTGGGATACAGGCGAGAAACGTGCATTCCTGAGCATTAAACTTGTTGCCCCCCAAACAGTATGTTAATACAGTCATAGAGTTGCTTTGAAATGAGTAACACAAAGTGAGTCTGTCAAGGTAATGTGGACTCAAAGGTCAGCTATGTGATGAAAACTCACCAAACGTGGTTTAATTTTCCCGTTTGGCTCTTTGTCCAAATTTACTCTCAGCGGTTGCCTCATCTGCAGCATCTTTGGGTCGTGGACCTGGGGAGTCGTGATGGCTGTGGACCGGAAGGTGTAAACGCACCCACCCATAACTTCACAGTGAATCAGGGGAGGACCACGCCATTCATGATCCCTCACTTTCTCCCTCTGATTTTAGCCCTGAGCTAAAATCTCCTAAGGGAGCTGGCTGCCCTCTCCCACCTTCCTGGCTTCATTTTACCCTCAGAGTTTGACTGCTTTGGAAATACCAGCTGAAAACCAAATGGCCTTTCTCAGCGCTGAGCCTGCAGGTCTGACTCCTTTTCATCCCAGAGTGCCCTACGAACAAGCCCCAGCGGTAAGCCCTGTAACACGTGCTGAACTTCTGCTTTTAGATAAAGCTGTCGGAGGCTGCTGTTGAGCCTGCCTCTCACCGAAGGGCGTCCCTCTGACTTGGGGTACGGAGCTCTGTGTGGCGCGGCGCTGAGGTGGTGGTGCGGGTAGAATGTGAGGAGTCGTCCTAGCTCCCTGCTTTTGCACATGATCCGGGATCTGGGATCATTTTAGGGACTATGTGTAGAAATCCATAAAGAAAAGGAAAACTTGGGTGAAGTCTCTTAAAAACGAGGGGCCACTGCTGTGGGCCCCAGTGTCTCTAACGTGCCCACCTGGAGTCCCCAGCCCTGGGTGCAGCTCCTTCACCCGCCGCTGGGGGCACTACCACTTGTTCGTTTTGCCCTCTTTTCACCCGGCAGCGCTCATGCGTCAACCAGGGCTTTCACCTCCGGACTGCAGAACGTGGCAAAGGGAACGTGGCGTGGGGATCCAGGTCTACCTACTGCAGGCCCAGAAGTCTGCCAGTTCCAGCCAGCAAAAAAGCGAATAAACTTTGACCCTTTGTTGAAATTTTACCTGGAAACGTTTTTCCATTTCAGGAAAGTCTTTCATTTTTTATTAGGCACCTCCTGCTCAGGGACAGTACAGGAGTTTCCAGTTACTGCCAAGCCCTAACAACCCCTCCACCTGGAACGTGTTTCAAACATCTGGCCGTGTACTCAGCCTCTTTCTCCCGTTTCATCCCAGGCTCGTGCCTCCAAAGTAGAAAATCCCTGGCAGCTGTGTTCGGAGCTAACCAAGTTATAAACTATCAAACGTGCCTCAGTCTCTCTTGTAACTTTGCCACGCGAACCCTCAAACGTCAGTGCCTGAGAGGCCCCAGGAACCTCCTCCTACCTCATGGACAGGACAAGACACTGAAGGCCCAGAGAGGGAAGGTCTGGCCTGTGGTCATTGACCCCACGGCCAAGCATTCTTCTTATGGCTGAAATTCTCACAGGCTGCTTAGGCCTTTCCCTGGAGGAAGGAACGTGTAGTGGTGTGTTTATTCAGTCAGCAAAATACTTGATTGCAGAGAGCCCATGACACTTTAGTTCTTTTAAAAGTTCAGGAATAGGCCTTTGCAACCACTCGGGGTGTAGGATGGCTGCAGACAACTGCCACTGCGGCTTAGTGCTGCCTGGATGCTGCTCTGTTTAAACGTTTGACTTTTGCTCCATAGTTAACTTAAAACAACAGCAGGGTTAGTTTAAACCTATGTTGAAATACTTTCCCTAACAGTTTCTTCCACCAGCAGTAACTGATGGTTCTTTTGCTTTGGGAGGAGGGGGCCACAGAGGGTTCTGCGGTGTGTCAGAATGCTCCTTCCTCCGTGCACAGGGAGGGCACTGGGGCACAGACCCTCCCCTTGGCTGTGGTGTTGGCTTTATTAACACAAAAGACATGTTTGGTTTTGCTTGGAGTACAGGAAGGCAGAAACGGAGGGGTTAGGAGAAGTACCCACCTTTGGAACAAGCCATTTCAAATCCCACTTGGCACGTGGCTTCAGGCTGATTACGGGAGGCTGGTGCCGAGTCCACAGACCCAGCAGGCTCCAGGACATCACGTTGTTCGGTCTTTTGCTTATCTAATCGGATTTGTTCTTACCCAATGTTCACTAGGTCACCACGTAGTCTCGTCCCCACCCCACAGGAGCTCCTAGATAGCCCCTACCTGAGGGCACTCGGGACCCCAGCTCAGGGTAAAGGGAAGGAACAGCTAACTAGCCACAAACTTGCAGGAATGCTTAGGTGGGTTTGGCAGAGGTCTGTTTCTCAAAGTTTCTCAAGTGCAAGCAGTGGTGTCTCCTTCTAGACCCAGCTCCAAGGTCCCTCAAGGACTGGAACTAGGACAGACAGATCTGGGGCCACACACTGCCCAATCCCAGCTCTGAGGCGCTCCATCCCACCCTCGTCTCCCGTGGCAGAACAGGCAACCTTCTGTTCCCCTTCAGCTGTCCTGCAGCTCCTCCACTTTTCCTTGGCCAACAGGCAGGCTCTCACCAAATATCCAACCTTTGGAGATGACAAAGGCCTTGGGAACAGGTATCAGCAGTTTTCATGGAGACACCAGGCAGAGAAGGAATCGTTGCATTTGTTTTGTTGGCTAATCCTTCTAGGTCACAAGAAGATCTAAAGTCCTATAATCTCCCTACTCAGAATTCATACCCCCCCCTCAAATTTATTAAAATGCCCATGTAGTTTAACGAGTACCCATAACTACTCATGATTTAGGTCCACGCCCCAAGAAGGCAGCAGGAGTTTGGGCTTTGGAGACGGTTCAGCTTTAGGCCTGTTTCCTTGAGGCTGCTGGGAGGACATGCCCTTTAGGAGGCCGTAGTCACCCACCAAGAAGAAAGCCTGGAACTCAAGGGTTTGCAATGTGGTTTGTTAACAGCACAAGCTCTCCCAGTATTTTAGGGGCCCTTGCTCCCAACTCATTCACAAAAGAAAGAAAGAAGCCAGCCCACACTCATTCATTCAATTCACCTGTGGTTTACCTAAGTCCCACCTCAGTCCTGATGGCCATTCCCCAGGGAGAGGACAGGTAGACATGATTTTGACTTCCCACAGCTGGGTGTCCATTCTTCAAGGGAGATGGTCTAGAGCAGAGAATTAGGGTGACTGTCACTCTACACAAATGAAGGGTGGCGGCACTGCAGACCATGCTTGCGGCTGCATCGTCCCACAGCAGGGAGGGAACAGCCTCACCCAACCTCCTGTAATGAGACTGGTGCCTCTTGAGGCTAGAAAGGGTCAACACTCTTTCTGAAGACCTTACTTTCAGATTTCTATTTTGATTAAAGTGATCTCACTGAGCTATTTTGGTATGTCCATGTGGCTAGGTGCCTAGCCTCCCTCAATGGCTTCATGTGGCTCTCGCAGGGGAGGGGCAGTGCTGACTTTTGCTAAAATGGGTGAGAGTGTCCAAGCCAGCAACATAATCACTCAAAGTCCAGATCAGGGATCAGTAAATACAACGTGCCTGAAAGGCAGGCCTTGAGCACATTCCTCTGGTAGACATTAACTTATTAAATCAGCCCCATTGCAAAAATAAACTTTGCCCCATCTCACCTGGCAACCACGAGGGGCAGATTTCAGTCTATAAAAGGAGGTGGCAACTGTCCCTGGTTTTCAGGCTTCAGCATCCCCCATCACGATGTGGCACCTCAAACTCTTCGCAGTGCTCATGGTCTGCCTGTTGCTGTCAGGCCAGGTAAGGGAAAGATCCGAGTGAGGATGTGCGGGGGATGGCAGAGCTGCGGAGCTGCACGCAGAACCCCGAGCCAGACTCGGTCCCCAGGAATGGTTCCTCTGCTCTCAGTCTACAGCGTCCTAGGAATGACCCCCTCCCAAGGCGTGCAGCAGGGCGTCAGCTCTTCCACAACCTGAGGGGAATCTGTCTTTGCCCTACAGGCAGAGAGCTCCCCAGTGCCGCAACTGAGTTCAGCAAAGAGAAGGCTGCGGAGAATGACCCCATTTTGGAGAGGAGTTTCCCTCAGGCCCATTGGGGCCTCCTGCCGGGATGATTCTGAGTGTGTCACCAGGCTATGCAGGTAACTTACAAGCCTGGAAGCACGGCTGAGCGAGGGGCCTGGGAAGCTGGGCAGAGATGAGCACACACAGATCTAAGAATGAGACGGGGATGGTGGACTTGAGGCTGGGTGCACCTTGGAGGATCCCTCCAGCAGGAGTTAAGAGCCAAGGACAGCGCCACACAGATGCCAAGAGCGGCGCTCTCCCTGGGACCGAATGGAGCGACCAGGGGAGGATAAGCAGGCTGGCTCTGGGCAGTGCTACCTTCTTAAAAACCTTTTCTTTTCCCTTAGAAAGAGACGCTGTTCCCTAAGCGTGGCCCAGGAGTGACGTACAGACCAGGGGAGAGGACAGCACTCACAGCCATGCTCCGTTCTATGGAATATTGGTTCACTGCATACTGGCTGGAGACACTTAGGTGAAGCAATCTCGTGTTTTTAATATTTAAAGACAGATACATGCTTCAAACTGGTCTTCGTTTCTTTTTAGAGTATTGATGTTTTGATGAGAGTATCTAAACTTGTCAATTTAGAGTTTATTTTTCTATGTATACATTAAACGTCTCAAATGTGAAATTTTGGCAGTCTGGAATTTCAGCGTTGGAGGGGAGTAAGGGTTCACTTTGTGTACTACAGAAGAAAACGGCTTTGCCTAATAATAACACGTTACTTCTCCATCTTGAAAATTAACAGTGAGTAGTAATGAAAGTAGTGAGGGTTAACGTTTTTGTTCAAGAAATAAAGGCCACACCAGCAGGCTACAGGTGTTAAGTTTAGTAATAGCTGTGTGATCAGCAAGTTCATAAGCTGTGGCCCTGGATCCCAGCCCTTCACTCCCTGTGAAATAACTCTTCAGTAAGGTGTCGAAGACGGGCAACGTTGCCACTAGCCACCTGATGACGTGCCCACGTTTGCCTGTGACTGAACAGAAGGCAGAACTGGAAGAGACTCTAGTTTAATAAAAAGTAAAAGCCCAAGCACCAAGAGGAGCAAAAAGGACCTTTCTGAGCTTTTGCTTGGAGCAGGGTGAACCCTGATCTATGTGCAAGGACCAGGGGGCAGCAGAGCGCAGGCTTTCTGGGATCAGAAAGCAAGACCTAGACTGGAGGGACCAGACTCTGGAGGGAGAGTAGCACTGGGCCCTGAAACGCAAGACAGGAATTACATGAAAAGGGCAGAGTGAGCATTGACAGTGCTTATA